CCACACCTGATTTTGCACTGATATGAAAGTAGATATGCCCACCTTTGTCACTGCATAACACCAATCTACGAACAGCTTGCTCGTAACGTCACGGACGCCGCTCCTGAACGTATTGGCACTCCACGATAGCGTGTTTGATGAGAAGGGAGTTGAGGTTAACCTGTTTCAGTGTGATAATAATCTAGCAGGAACGCCTCTGAGCTTGAATAAGGAAAAGAGCTTCAAGCGATGTTTCGATAACATTAATGACACGCTCCAAACATTGCATCACCCCGTGTTTGCGTACCAACACGGCGGTTTCGGTGACGTCATTGCGAGCCACGTTTAGGATGTTATAGAGCTCCAAGGGTGGGCTTTCCACGTTATACGGGTGGCGCCACATGAACGTGAACTCAAGTAAAATTTAACAAGCCCGATTTATTGATTGATTGGTTGATTGATATATTGATTTGTGGGGTTTAACGTCCCGAAACCACCATATGATTATGAGAGACGCCGTAGTGGAGGGCTCCGGAAATTTCGACCACCTGCGGTTCTTCAACGTGCACCCAAATCTGAGCACACGGGCCTACAACATTTCCGCCTCCATCAATTTAACAAACCCGTTCCTTTTTGTCTTTTCCCTCCCGGAAAGTCACAAAGAGATCCAGCTGCCCGCGTCTCAAACTGCACAGTCGTGCGAATGATTCAATAGCTAAATAAAGAACGGGGCGCTCATTGTTCTCCACGGAGTTCCTTTGTATACATGCAAATGAAGCTTCGAAGGAAACCCAACCGCCCAGAAGAATAGAGAGAAGAAGGGAGAAAGATATTTGTATATGCACATCAACGGACAAAACGCAAAGCGCACCCACGTAGCCACCACGCATGGATGCTTCTTCGGCATACGGCGTTACACAAGACGTGGGAGGCGTGCGGAGCGGGTAGAGGTGGCACGTCAGCCGATAACCGTTCGGTTATACCCACCACGCCGCGACATAATCTCGTTCCCTATCGTGCACGGCGCCTCGTTTTCGAGCTATCAATCACTCCGAGATTACGAGCTTATTTCAATATGCCAGGTCAAGGAAGCGGCGTCGGCGTACACAGCTGCTAAAAGTCTGAGTCGGCGCACATGCGAACATAATATTCCCGCGATGTCTGGGGTGTGCCCCGAGAATAATTGCACTTGGAAACACACTTCTTGAGTACTGCATACATATATTCAGAAGAGTCGTAAGAGCAACCACTCGATTCACACGCAGTTAACTTTCTTAAAGATAACCTGCTTCACGTCACCCTGCCTTCCTGTTTATAAAGAGGTCTATTTCTAGCGTCCTTGTACGTTTATAAATTACTTGTGTACAGATAATGTCTATTTATGCATTGCTCCCTCGGTAATTCCATGTCGATCGCATCAGCTCGTCGGGACAAGCAGGTTAAATCGCAACGTCAGCGATTTCCAGAAAGTATGCCACATTCGCTCTCTGTCTTCCATTTTTACCCCATTCTCCTGCTTTTAGATGATTTCGGTTTCTTTTCTTTCAAACCCTTAATGCCCCCCTTCCTTAAAGGGACACTAAATCTCACAATTTACGTCAGAGTGAAAGCTCAATGCATGAGATCATGTAAAACGAAAATGTTATCAATGACAGTGCCTTACTTACCGTGAAATTAAGGCAAACGCACAAGAACACTATCGCCGTAGTAGGACATTCTCAAAATGATCCCGATGACATCAGACGAACTGCCTACAATTAATCACTAGTAATCGATCTAACTGCACTAAATAAGGAACATTCCGTGCATCAAGAGACGCAATGAAATGCTTCTTGTCCATTTCTGTTTGATTCATGGAAAAAAGAACCGCCGGACTTTACTATGGGGAATGGCCCGAGTGGTTCATAAATTCAATTTTCGCGTTGTTACTTTGGACAGGTGGCGCCATCTAGCAGTTAAAAAAAACGCCTATTATAATCTCACGCGCCCGCCATCTCGGAGGCCACAATTGTTGCTGCTGTGGCTCCCGCTGCTTTCGGTCTGCTGCTACCAGCGCAGTAAAGCCGCGCCACATTGTGCACGGCAACAGTGACGTGAGTCGGTCCGGTCGGTCCACTTCTTGAGCCGATGCGAACCACTAAAACGTAATTTCATTTAAATGGGCCCTTCCTTGGCACAAAAGTAACACTACGAGGTTTCTGGAGCGCTATTTAAACAGTCAACGTCTGCTTAATAGTTGCCTTTAGTGTACCCTAATACCCTGCAGTCTTCATTTGACGCCGCCAGTGTCGTCGATCGACAAGGCACGAAATTGGCGCAGCTGACGCCATCATCGGCTTTAAAACAGCGAGTAGGAAATTTGTTTCCTGTCTGTCTCCTCCTCCTCCTTCCTTTCTTTTTTTTGTCAGCAGAAACAAATAAACGGAAGCGCTCCAAAATACGACGTTGCTACGGCGCCGCACTGTTTTTTCCAGACGGCCAGAGCTTTTTCCAGAGCTGTGTATTGACAGAAGCAGCACCGAACTGGTTTCGGGGACATTGGTGAAAAAAAAAAAAAGAAAGGCCGCCAAAATGAACTGCTTCTCAAGTTCACTGGCGTTCGCAGCTATACACACGATGCGACGTTGAGAGCTGCGTTCGTTCCGGCTATAGGGTGCACAAAAGCTTTGAACACTAATGGCCAAAGTAATGGGTATACCTCTACAGAGGGAGACCGTACTGACAACTTTCAAATCGCGCGTTGCTCGCCTCAACATTTAACAAGAAATGAAAGAATTGAATCGCATCGACCCCATCTGTCGAGCAGAGCATCAAACTGTCAACCTCGTATAGTCGCGATTCTGCCCGACTTCGTGTGCTGCTTCTTAAAACTCTCTTTTTTTTTTTAAATCGTTGACACTACGCAATGTGTAGTCATTTTAGATTTGTAGTCAACAGCTAACAGCGCATGTCATTCCCCAAAGACTACGCACCTACGAGCACCAGTTTCAAGAAAAGAAAGACATTAGAGAAAGTTTGCTGCGAAGGGCACTGAAATATCTTTTATAAAATAACATTTCACAGGTTCTGGACAAATTGCGTAATGCAAAACTATTAACTCCAAAAGTGCTTTTGAAGCGAAGATGCTTTTCGAACACATTTTCAGTCCGTAAACTTTACAGCTTGTCCTAAGAGCACGATATCAACAGAAAAAAAAAGTGTACTTGCAGACTTTCTAGAAGAAGATGATGTTTATTTAAAAGAAAGAGTCATTTCTAGCCGTAATTTTGAACGTACAGCGTGCCCACTTGAAGGTAACAATTCAAGTCGCGCGATGAACTTCACGAAAAAAAAAATCTAATGCTGTTGTTCGGCTGCATGATTTTAGTCCCAGAAAAAAAGACAGATCCAATTAAACAATAATTTAAAACACAAAGAATAGTCTAAGTCCACGCTACGGTGAGCAACATTCATTTGGTCGCGTCGTAATTGCGCGTGTCGGCATACTTTCAAACTCTGACTAAAGTTACCTGGGACACCCTGTATATGTACACGAATTACACCTTCAAAGTTAATCAAGGGGACGCTGAAAGCCAGTAGTTATCTAATTACCGCAAGTTTACTGTCACTCATCTTCCTGAAACACGCTGACGCGTATGCGTTCCAGCGCGCTTCTCAAGCAAGCTTGGCAGTTCACTTGAGAGGGACGCTGGAATTGCGGTCTTCCTTGAATACCTCCTCTCTCCACAACCACCTCCCGCCAATCTTCCGATCTTCTCTCTACCCATCGTATCTCTTGCGCCGCTCTTTCTCTTTCTGAAATTTTCGTCTCTAAAACAGGTCTAATTGTTCGCGCACGGAAGCGTTTGATATTACGGTCGCCCACGGTCGGCTCATGTCGCGTGTTTCTCTCTTGTATTGAGGTGCGCGCACTTAATAACCGTGAGAGAAAAGTGGTTGCCCAGAAACATACAGGCTTTCCTCGCGGAAGTGACGGAGTCTACGCAGACACGAAAGAAAGGTCAATTGGAGGTTGAAAATTATATACCTGCACGCGCGAAGAGAGTAATGTGCGTTCAAACAGTTTCCTTCGTAATGCATGGTTTATAATTACTGCATTGGAGGAGACGCCGCAATAATTGGCCACAATAGGTCCCACCGATCTTCGACATTGCATGGTTTACTACTTCACAGACCATTTGCCGGATTTGCCGAAAGACCCATGCTTAGTCACCTTGCGCATCTTGTGAAGGACAAAAAAAGATGTTTGATGAAGAGAAATGAGTACTGGTTCTGGCTTGCTACTCCTCACGAAGGTAACGGGAAAAGGTAAAGAAGGAAATATGATGACAGGCGATTATGGTACAGTAAAAAGAGAGACTGTACACATCCTGTTCTGTGCAGGGACGTACACTGCACGCTAGTTTTTTTCTTATAACATATAGACTACGCTATAAAGAGGCGTATCTAAACCTGTATCGGTTAGAAGCCTCAATAAGCAAATTAAACCACATTGCCCATGGTCGCCACGTTTCCAAGCACCCATAGTCGAGTACGTTCGCTGCCGTTTTTACTGCACTGATTTGTCTGTGCGCCAGTCTATGCAGTCAACGAATAAGAAATGGGTGGTTCAAAAGAGTTACAGGGCCCCTTTAAGTACGAAGTACTCGAAGTCGTTAAACAATTTTTCTAAACACAATGCTCTCCCATGGTCGAGTACGAAGTACTCTAAACCGGTAAAATATTTTTCTAAACACAAACCAGACAATTTACGACGGTGTAAAGTGTTTGTCCTTCAGCCAATTATTGAGGCAACGCCAAGAGGACGTAGTGAACAATGTGTGACGTGTGACGCACTGAAGTTAGGGCTTTGCCACTCCGTCCAGTCTTATGAGGACGTCGTCATGTGCACGCAACACCCGACCGTTGTGTATGCAATGGTCTTTCCGCTCTCTTGTTAAGCCGGAAGGCAAGCCGAAAACGATGACCGGGGACAGGGACGACCTTCGCGCTGCAGAAATGAGAAACGGAACAACACTCACATCTGTTTGTGACAGACAACGCAGAGCCACTGGTCCGAGTTCTCGGGGGCGCCCACTTCGTGCAGGCGACAGTCGCGGCACACCTTCTTGCGGCACGAGGGACACGGGGCTCCCCGGTTCAGGATGCGACCCAGGGCGGACAGGCATCGGGCGCAGCTGCGAGCCGGGTCGAGGCCCGGACGCAGGGCACCGCGCTTGCGCAGGCGCTGCAGCTCGGCCTTCAGGTGCCTGAGAACAAAACAGGCCGACAAAGAAGGTTCAGGGGAAGGGGGAAGCGTGATGAGAGAGAGAAAAAACGAGGCGCGGCTTTGCAATCGCATGCACTATTTGGAGCTGACAGTAAGCCTCAGCATATTTGCGCAAACATAGATGAAAAACTATGGACTACCACACGTAAGACCTACGGAATCCGTCATCTTGGACTGGTAAAGCTGGTGTTTCTTTTTGTATATTGCGACGTGAATTAATGAGGCCATGACACATCGTAAGCACTGACCCAACCACACTCCCACGTATTCGTCTACCGTGACAATTTTCGTTCAAGTGTTAAAGATGCAAAAAGCAAAGGTTACCAGCCCATCATGGCGGCATTGAAACCCATCCGTAAAATACTAAGCTTGTGATGTGCCTTATCCCGTCACGCTATAACACTGGCACCCGTTTTGCGACATGGTTACGCTGCGAAACGTCGCAGCTCACAGGGCAAACTCCACTTAGTCCGTACGCGTAGATGTAAACATAGGCATAGATGTGATTGATTGATTGATTTGTGGTGTTTAACGTCCCAAAGCCACCATATGATAATGAGAGACGCTGTAGTGGAGGGCTCCGGAAATTTCGACCACCTGGGGTTCTTCAACGTGCACCCAAACTGAGCAGACAGGCCTACAACATTTCCGCCTCGATCGAAAATGCAGCCGCCGCAGCTGGGATTCGATCCCTCCCCCTGCGGGTGAGCAGCCGAGTTCCTTAGCCACTAGACCACCGCTGCGGGACAAGGCATAGACGTAAATATCGCTTTGAAGATCTTGACCACAAGGTGTTGCTGGGGCCCGTTTCCGACACGTAGCGTTTCTACCGGGCCACGACTGCCTACCATTGGCTTTTTGAAGCTTTTTGAAGCAGCATGACACCTTCTCCCCATGCAGAGAGAGGGCGCACAGCCACGCACCTCGTCTCCCCATAGGGACAATGCATGACTATTCTAGGCCACTCTAGGCATGACGCCATGTCAAAAAGCCCAATACGTTAGTGTGGTAAGACATCTAACGAGACTATGTTCTCAAAACGGCTGACTTGGCAAGTTGGCGATTCATGATTAGCTGAAATACCGAGCGCGTAACGTAGACAAGGGCTAACTAGAACACGGACAAGCGCGTCCGCGCTTGTCCATGTCTTAGATAGTCTTTATATACGTAACGCGCTTCATATTTCACATATGTTTGCAGCTGCATACCTCAGCGCGTATGTGTACACTGTTACGTTTGGCCCGGCAATTCATCTGGGCAGACGCCATTGTGCGTAAGCCGGTCTGCTAGGATGCTCTCTACCCCATCGGCGCACAGTCTGCAAGACGCTGTCCGCCCCGCCGCGGTGGTCTAGTGGCTAAGGTACTCGGCTGCTGACCCGCAGGGCGCGGGTTCAAATCCCGGCTGCGGCGGCTGCATTTCCGATGGAGGCAGAAATGTTGTAGGCCCGTGTGCTCAGATTTGGGTGCACGTTGAAGAACCCCAGGTGGTCTAAATTTCCGGAGCCCTCCACTACGGCGTCTCTCATAATCATATAGTGGTTTTGAGACGTTAAACCCCACATATCAATCAATCAAGACGCTGCCCTGTAGATGCTCCACGTAGTGGTCGGATCACAACGAAAGCTTCGCGAGACAACCCTTTTTGTAGAACGGATTCGAACAGCGTGGAACGGCACCACTGTGTAAGTTCTCATGGAGTCAACCTCTCAACTCGGCTGTCGTCGCCAACTCGAAATCGTCACGAAAGCAGCGTCAGTCCGGAAGCACGGGAAGACGTCGAAGAAGCCGTTCTCCGTGGTCGAGCGTTTGGACTGCCATGCTCAAGAGAGTTCTGGAAGCCTGATTGATTGATATGTGGGGTTTAACGTCCCAAAACCACCATATGATTATGAGAGACGCCGTAGTGGAGGACTCCGGCAATTTCGACCACCTGGGGTTCTTCAACGTGCACCCAAATCTGAGCACACGGGTCTACAACATTTCCGCCTCCATCGGAAATGCAGCCGCCGCAGCCGGGATTCGATCCCGCAACCTGTGGGTCAGCAGCCGAGTACCTTAGCCATTAGACCACCGCGGCGGGGCAGTTCTGAAAGCCTGTAGCTGAAAGCAGCCAGGGACCGCTGCTGACGTTCGTGTCAGCGGCCGTCTCCCCGGAGGAGCTCAACTTTCCCTCTCCGGACTCCACCTCCTCGCCCTGAGGTGCCTCCAAGGCGTGGGCCGGGTGCGTCATTGTGTGGTGTCCTCGTGCTACCATTGGACCGTTTCGCCCAGCCGAGTGGGGATATTTCTGCACCCTTTTTGGTGGGTGGACCACTCAGACATCACGTCAACTGATTTGTGGCAAGAGTGGTCCCGGCCTTCTTCGGACCTCCATGTAAGGGGACGACGGACTATACAAGCCGAAGCATTTTGTAAATAAGAGCTGAATCACGAGCTGAATCTTTGTACATCGCTGAATCTCTGTACAGTTCTATCTTTCAACTATCATGTAAATAAACCTTCGTTCTATCTCTCTTAACGCGTCCCCTCACTGGCGAAGATCGACTATGCGGAGGACGGCGGGAAGCCAGCTACCCTATAGAAAACCCGCCGTACCTGCCATTGACCTCGAGCCCTTTACAACACGTGCTACGGTACGTAGCAGACGAAGAGAAAACCACAGGTCGAAATATTCGCTTCAGTCACACGCCGTTTTCAAGAACTGTTCCTCTAAACAAAGACAAATAAGGAATACTGGAATATCGTTATGAATACTTCGCGAAACTCAGCGCTGTGACGACATGTCAAGTGCAACAACAGTTGGGTTTGTTTTTGCTGTTCATTATGTTTACTATAGGCAACATTATACATGCATGCAAAGAGAAAAGCACGAAAAGGTTCAAATTCAATCACGGTTTACCAGCACATTCTTATTACGGTACAAATCTAGACCTTTAGTAATGCCTTTAATGACTTTTTAGCCTTTCATGTTGGCTATGTTACCGATATACGTTTTGAGTCACTTTGTTAGAGTACAGTAAGATACACGAGCACACCTTGTATTTATTCATATGATACTTTCAACGTCCTTTCGCTGTTACAGTAGTTGTGCTAGACTGTTGCAAACACTTATTTTTTAACGCCGATTGATCCGGGTTACTGGGAATCAATGGAGGCGATGCCATTCCTCTTGTCAATAGCATGACGAACAGACATTAGCATGACAATATCGTGATTATCACGAATGAACCAATGTGCAAATTGTGGCACTCAATTCAGAGCCTCTTTGCATCACTTGCGGAAGCATGACTAAATCGGCCCTTATAACGAAATTTCTCGCGCCTTCTTGTCAATTCAAGCAGCCCGAGAAAAGCTCCAGAATTCGGTAGCAGGCAATATTCACACAGCGCCTCCTTCACGGACACCTTCTATACTCCTGGTGCACTGCTACTTTTTCTGAAGTCTCTGGTCGTATACTTGCCACTCTAAGTGCACCTCGGCGGAGTAATACGGTTAAATGCGGCAGGAGAGCCATTGGATGTGAAAGCAGGGCAGACACGGCACTGCGAAGGACCGCCTCCTTGCTTCCCTGGTCCCCATCTGGAGAGGGTTGTTGGCGATCGATAAGCAAAACCTTTCAACGTCATTGTCTTACACGCGGCGCGCTCTGCCTTTAACGATAAACTACGATGCTGACGTCAGCGGCAGCTTTGCCGCAGAAAGCACAGCACCAAGCAGCTATAAGCTGCACCTTGGTACTACTAATGCAGGTGGCTTTAAACTCCACAGCCGAGCGACGGTTCTTTTCGGATAACATCAATGAGAATATCTGTAAGTTTACGTCACTAAAACAATGATATGATTATGGGTTAAGTAGCAGTGGAGGGTTCAGAAAGATTTTAAACCAGCTTTTGTTTTTTTAACGTGCGCTGGACTCGCACAGTACGCAGGTCTCTAGCATATGACTTCAAACGAATTGGCGACCACCACGGCAGGAATCGAGCAGGCGACTTTCGGGTCACCAGCAGAGTACTGTATCTACTGTACCACCGTGGCAGATTCAGATAAAGTATGTTACTACTACTACTACTACGACGACGACTACTACTACTACAAAAGAAAAAAATACAGGACAACAAAAATAATAAAAAAATCCAATATATGTCAGACAAAAATTCGAGGGTCACTATATGAGAGAACAAAGCACACCAACAGCATGAGTGCTAAACTTCCAATTAGTTTTATTCTGAACGAGAAAACGCTATTTAAGCACATGCCGTTTTAAGATACGCTGTTAAAGGGAGTCCGTATCAATGAAGAAAGTTAGGAAAAGTCTTTTCGCGTTCGAACGAGAAATCAGGCGGCGAAGCTTGCTAAGTTGTGCAGGTATTTAATAATTAATCGACGTTCTGCGGTAAGATGCAATTATTATTATACGAGCAAAAAGAAAGCGGAAAGCCACGATTTGCGACTGCGGAGCTCTAATCTTAAGAACTGCCCGAAGACGCCGCCTACGACATACGAGTCCACAGCGAAAGCAACCGCAAACTTAATTTCGATCAGACGATTGGAGAGATAATTAAGGGAAAGAACAGTCGCTGAACAATCTAAAAATAGAGTGTGTTCATTAGTCAATTCTAAAGACAATTCAGCCGCCCGGTACAGGCAATTGTAATTGTTCTCCTCGAACGTTGCTACACTGGGAAAACGCCGATGTAATGCGAAAAGCGCCACGCGCGCTGTTGCTCCGCGAAGTGCGCTTTCGAAAACACCACGTAAGCGTCCCGCAATTACCCGTTTCTGGAAGTGCCATAGACTGAACCTAATGAACCCAGTAGTTGGCACTAAATTAACTGGTCCCAGCAGCTAACGGCAACAATAATTGACCCAGATTGAGCTATTCCGTATGAAGAGAACTTTCCATGAGGAGAGCCACAAAGTTCGGGACAGGGATAACTTTGCAGGCTCGTACTAACAAGCCGCAGTGCAGAACTGATGA